GGGGTGTTTTTTCCCCCCCCCCCCCCCCCCCCCCAATTCTGAGTCCATTTATGTGGTTGTCCAAAAGCCATTTATTGCTCGGTTTGTTTTTGAATGTGAGCTCCAAAGTTAAAATTATAGTATATCTGATTCTTCCTTATGAAGGTTTCTCACTGATCTTTTTTTAGACACTTAAAGAAGTGAGAATCTTACACCTCCCCTCCCCGCACCCCCTCCTCTCCCCCTCCCCCCAGTAAGAATCTGAGAACCTAAACAGTGCTGTTACCTGAGGTTGTAACTTAAGCCTCATGAGTATTTCACTTCCTTTTCATTCTTCAGAATGAGCTTGAGTATGGGAAGGAGATAGATGACTCCTGCAGAGTAATAGTCTTAGATTAGCAATTAGATAGAATAGTGAGTAGTCTAGATCTTTTATTTAGGACTTCTCATTTGGTCAAGCAGCTGCAACATAGGCTGTTACCTGTGACATGTGATACCTTTTCTACCATTAGTAAATTAAAAAAGTAGAACACATGATCAGTTAGGATTTTTTTTTTTTAATTATCAGTCTTGATATTTATTATTTTATAGTAAGAGATGTTACAGCACTTGCAGTGCTGAGAGTGCACCTGGAACATTGTTGCTTGCCTTCAGGGGAAAAAAAAACACTTAAACCTGAACAGGACTGGAGACAGCATCTTCATTTCCATAGTCAGTTTCGTATCATCTCGTATGTGAGAAAGATACAACAGCTTAGCAAGATGAACATAAAGGCAGACCAGTTTGGTTTTAAAAATTAATTAGTTTGTAAATAAGATTTAAACATCATAAAAACAATACTTTGGGTGTCAAAACTCTTTACACTTGTGGGACTGAGATGTAAATATTTCTATAATAGCATCTTTATTACTTTAAGAAAGAAGTTTTACCTCCTAGTTAATGATAGGAGACTGGATCCAGTAACCTAGAAGGTTCCTTCTGTTCATTTTTGAAAACTGGAGTTGAAATAGCAACTGCTTTCTTTTACAACTTTTGTCAGTCATGTTGTCACTGCTTAAAATCCAAAGTGTTAGTTTAAGATGGGAAGAAGGCATGGCAGAATAAAAGTTTCATTAATGGAGCACATTTCTGTGGTTGCTATTTAATTTCAGTAAATTTCTAAATGCATTTTTATTTTTAATATACAAATAGTGATGAAGTCTTCTAACATGATTATATTTATTAAAGATGAAGTCACATGAAGAAAGTCTCTCCAAAAAGGAAAAAAGTACAGAAGACAAGGCAAAGGAAACGGGTAAGATAGCCATTCAGAATGCATATGTTCACCAAAAATGCATATTTCCTGCTGGAACAAGCTACATATTTTTGTT